CACTCGGCTTATTCGAACGCTGGATTAATTCAAATTTAGGGGAAAATTACATACCTAAATAAAATCCAGTTAAATTTATCGATTTCAATTCGGTGGGTTATAGGCTTTTTTTATTTAAGAAAATGATTAATTGTTGAAATAATTTTCTTTTATGTCACCATAATATATTGTGTACTTCCGGGCCAGAGGCTTTTTGTGCTTTTTGTGCAGATATAAAAAAATATTAATAATATTATGAGGTTATTACGAGGATACCTCAAAGTATGCACGACGGCGTACTGTCTGAGTGCATACTTTGATGTATTCTCGTAATAACCTTATTATTATACATCTTTTCCTTCCAAGGATACATCATGGGAATGCCGAAATCCAAAAAGAACAGAATCAGCAAACGTTCTTGTGTGAAGTCCGGTCAAACCTTGGTGGCAGCCATGTTTGTTTTTATTATTGGAGGACGCTTACGCGCGTAATCATTCCATATTTGGAATTCGCATTTCCTAATATGGTAGTATGAAAATACCCCGTAAAATACCACAAAATTACGGCACGCTGTAACTTATTGCGTTACGGTGATAGATATTATTTAATAGCACCAGTTTTCTAGTCTTGAATGCACTTTATATACGAACTGTGTGGGTAATATATACAAGGTTTAGTTTGGAAAAAAACTCATAAACAGCTTTTAACGTAAACTCGCTTTATTAGTTCAATCTAAAGCATAAAGTATTATTACAGCGAAGATGAAATTCATTCTAGGAAATATGTCATAAAAATCCAATTACCAAACCATATCGGATAAATTCAAACAGAGATTGAAAGTCTTATAATTGATTTATTACGTATTCCAACGACATCCTAATACTGTTATTGCGTCGCGTATACATTCACGCCTATATGTGTTATTATAAAACAACAGACAGCTATCTGGCAATCCCAGCTGATCACATGTCATTATCAAGACAACTCGAAATACCCTCACACTGTCATCGTAGCCCATGAGAATACTCGTACCATATCAACGCGACCTTAAGGGAATTCTCGTACCCTTGTTGAGCTTAGGTAAGAATACTCGTAACTTGTCCAATTTCTCCAATAAATATACTTTGATGTCGCGTCAATTTTAGTATAGCATCAATTAAAGCTTGCTCTCAGGTTGTTTAATCAATTTAATAGATTTACACGAATACGTTGGAGAATTGTCCGGCGGAATGCGCGCAGCTGATACAGCGTGTGGGACTTCACATAACGCGTTCACTACTACAAACACACATGGTACCCCAACGGAGTTACTGTGTTTTATCAACATAATTTAAACATACAATTGGATACGTATTAGACTGGCTCCAGTCACGGCGATTAACTTAAATTAAGCGGAAAAAATGACGCTTTCAAATTTGGTGAGATGATTGCAAAACACCTCCAATTATCCCAAGAGCTCCCTCAGCTGCGCCCCCCCGATGTAGACCCCCTACCAATCACTAGAGTCGCTACTGAATATAAAACATGCAATAGGACTACTCAGTACAATGGTATTAAACATAATTTAGAACACCTCAGAATAGTGGAAATAAATACAGTATGCCTACTCTTTTCATGGCAAAAACCAAACAAAAAACATGTGTTGTCTGCAGACGCTTTATTTGAAAACGTGGGCGTTGCTCAGCGACTCCGTTTTAGTATTTGCCAAAATATTGCCAAAAAATCAAGAAAAAAAAGAATTTCAAGACAAACAAATGAGGGGCACATTTTCTTTTGGTCTTATAAGATACACGTACCAAAAGAATAATACACGCGAATTGGACTACTTAGTACAATACAAATAACCACGAGCTTGCACTACTCAGTGCCATGAAAATTAACAGGACTGCTCTTAATTAGAGTGGGAGAAATGAATTGAACATTGGCCTACTCAGGAAATGAACATAACATGTGATGGAAATAAACATGAAATTGGTTTTCACTCAGTATAAGGACAATTAAACCGACATTGGACTACTGTAATGGACATGTAAGTGATATTGGAGTACACAGTATAACGAAAATAACCGTCAATCAGGACAGCTTAGTTTAATGAAAATAAACGTGTTGAACATGACTACTTACTTGCCGAGTGACGTTATATCGTTATAAAAGACCACTTAGTGTATTGAAAATAAACATTGAATTGGGTTATATAGTGTGAGCGAAGTGCTTTATAATACTACTCAATTTAGGTAAATACACACGACTATTGATTTATTCAACGTGAACAATTGACCTCATACTTTGGGATGAATCAAGCGTTAAGCACTTAGCGGTTACGCCGTGCGCATTAGATAACCTACAGGTATTGAATAACAGTAATAAATAAAAAGAATTTGTTCCCCGTAATCCATCACGTCTCCTAATGCATATACAACACTTAACAATAATCCCGACGTAATTCGATGTACATGTTTAGTGGCGTCTCCAAGTCTATCAGCAATAACAGACGAGTTAAACACATGGATGTAGTTGGTTTGCGCAGTTTTACCACTAATGCCGACAAGTCTTAATGTGCTCTTAACATGACAGAGTTCAAGTCCCTGTTTCAAAGAATGTAACTGAAAAGTTTCACTTCGTTCGATATAAACCCAAGCCTCTATAAAAATAAGGAGTATGTAGTGTCACGAAATGTCTGGATTGTAATTGTAAGAAACGAATTACGTGTTGTAACAGTCAACATGGTAGGTGCATAAAACACTACACGTACACATGGTTGAAATGGAATTAATGGCTTACTGGACTTCCCAGTCACTGGATGAGAATCTGGAAGTACAAGTGCTGTAACCCAATAACGATTGACACAACAGACTGTGTAACGTCATAGCAGAAACATCAAGCCCAACCACGTGTTTCTA